TGATACACAGCATCTTTCAGATGCTCAAATTTCACCTGTATATATGCTCATTCTTCTTTCCTCTCTTCTCTTCACATTTGTGCAAAAGACACTTTTTTTGCCACATGAAAGATAATAGGTACCAAGATCAGAAGCTTCTGTCTGCTACTGTGGTTTCTTTCATGTCTTTAGTCTTGTATGAGAAAGTTCTGTTTGCCTTCTTGCACCAATTCTCCTGATGACACTGCTTTCCCTAAAGCGTTGGCGAATGGTGGCTATTTTCATTCTCAAAACCTTTTTACCAGCCCTTCGAAGGTGGCATAGATGTCTTCCTTGTTTTTCACTGCTGCTTTTAAATCATTCTCCTTCCATCCTCCCTAAAAACATCTAGGTTTAAATCTCACATTGTCCCAATATGCTTGTAAGATAAATTCTAGCGGAAATAAGCAGGCGACGAGAGGCAACAAAGGGCCAGGTAGTTTATTTGAGCGCAATTCCCGGGCGAGGTTAACCAGTCTGCAGGGACGCGGGCTGGGGGAGTCGCACCCAGGAGGGGTAAGAGAACAGGGAAGAGAGGGGGAAGTGGGCTGCGCTAGGGGTATGTGGGGAATTTATATTGGCTCAGGGTCGGGTGATGGACAGCCAGACGTCTCCTCCTTCCGGATGGAGGGGGTCTGCATCCTGCTTTGTCGCAAGTCATGGGACTGGAATCCAGGAAGAGCTGTTCGTTCCTTCCCCATACGGCACAGACCTACTTGGTGCTGTCCTGCCCCGCCTGCTTCGTCCTCGCCCTTCTCCCTCCGGTACCTCCAGCCTTAGGTGCTGTGCTCTGCCTGTCCCTGTTAATAGTCATCTGCCAATTCCTCAGTCATTCTCCCTCAGTGTTTGAAAAATTTTAGCATCTGGTTTACTACCAACACTCCTTCTGTCATGATTCCTGGGTGATACCAGATACTTGAGATAACCCTCTCATTTCCTGGGCCTTTTTTCCACCAGTGGTCTTGCCTTCTAGATCCTGTCTCAGCCATTTACTCCCTGACCATAAGTGTAAACCTTGTCATTACCCATTACCAGTAACACTATCTCAGTTTCAAACATCCTGTGACCACCGCTTCCCGTCTTGCCAGCTCATTCCCTTTCATATTCCAACAGTACCTTCAACCCTGAGATTCTGTCATCTTTTCTCGGCCCCTCATCCCCTTTGTGTCAGCACTTCCCCTTTCATTCCATAGACAGTCATTGTAACCATTCCCTCACTTACTGCTTCTCATGTTTTGTAGTTCTCTTTTAGATAAACTGCAACCTTGGTTAAATTCAACTCTGCCTACTCCATGGCTGCCCTCATGCAGCTGAATGTGGCTGTAAAAAAATTCCACCATGCTGATTGGTCTCACTTTAAATTTATGATAGTAACCTGAAATAGGCCCTTAAGTGTTCTCTGGCCATGGTATTTCCCTGGTCCCCTATCCCCCATTCTGATGATTGTTTTTACAAGTTTCTTTTCTGTTCAAACCTCCAACACCACCTCCCCCATCCTTTGAATCCTAAGAGAACTTCCCCCATCTCCCACTACCCATCTCCCCACCTGCCAGCATATTTGTCTTCCCTTCTGTGGCAGGGAAGGAATGGCCGCTGACTCCCAGCTCGAGCCCGTCCCTTCCATGTGGGCTGTGGAGCCCTCCGACTTTATTGGAGGGTATCGCTCAAGCTCTTCCTCCCGTTTTCTGCATCATCATTTGCCCTTTCTCCTGGATCACTTGTATCAGTCAACAAACATGTAATTGCTGCTCCTATCTAAACCCCCCTCCCCAACATTTTCCTTAGTTGTTACTTCTCTGGCTCTTACTGTGTTTCTCTTCATTTTATGGCAGAATTCTTAAAACAAAAAAAAACAGTAAAAACCATGTTCACGGACATCAGTTTCCTTCTCTCATTGTCTCTTGAATTCACAGCAGCCAGGCTCCACCACTCTGCCAAACTGCTCTTTCTAAGGTCACCACCACTGATAGCCATTTTGTTAACCCACTAGCCATTTCTCATCTTATTAAACCTATAAGAAGTAAATGAACAAATAAATGGTCAAGGTAGAGGTCAGGTGGGAAAACTTAAAAATAATTGCTACCAAAGTTTACTACTGTTAAGGAAAATTTGAATATTGGTAGTGTGGGGCTGGTAGGAAGGATATAGGAGTAAGCAAGAGATTTTAGAGACACTTTAGAGGTTCACCAGCACCACCAACTTTATTACAGATCCTTCGGGGATATTCTGTAAATATACAAATGTTAACCCACTCAGTTTAAGTGCCCAGAAACCACAGGAAAATTAAAAAATCAGTACAGTGATGATCTGTATTTCCCTCATCTAGATTTACCAACTGTTAACATCCTGCTATACTTAATTTTTCTCTCAGTATTACCCACAGTTCCCTCTTCTTTCAACATATGAAAGTAGGCTACAGATAGTATGAAACTCTGATCACTTCATCACATATCTCCTAAGAACCAGGAAACATTTTTAAAAAGCATGAATTCATTCTAATACCTACAGTCCAAAGCCAGTACCAGAGTTCTGTCTCATTTTCTTGCATTATATACTTACTCGCATTGTGAAAATAGCTAGTAGTGATCCAAGAGAATTATAATGGTAGAGTGGAAATCGTGGAAGTGGTTGGATTACGGATATATACACATCCATCCATCCATCCGTGCCCATATGCATATATATACATGTGTGCTTTTTAATTTAAATTTTTAATTTTGAAATACTTTTAAACCTACAGAAAAGTTGTAAGAAGTGTACAAAGAACTATTGCATGCCTCTTACAGAGTTCCTGTTAAATTGTTCTGCATGTGTTCCATTTGTTTTTCTTCCTTTAGAAAGAGAAAGAGGGATGTGTTGAACCATTACCCTTAAATGCTGCAGTACATATCTCCTACTCCCTAAAAAAGGATACTCTTGTTACTGCCATTCACCCCTTCCACTCAGGAAATAAACATTGATATACATTACTGTCCAATTCAGACACCATTAAAATTTTGCTGTCTGTCTTAATAGTGGCTGTGATATAATGAGCCATAAGAAATACATACTTGGCTACTCATATGACCAAATATATATTTCTCAGGTATATTTGGTCTTCATCCACAGTTCCTGAAAACACTGCAGTCTTGAAGGTGAAATGGGTGTTTTGTCATGTTATGAGAGACTTTTGGACTCCACCCAAGGGGGCTGGAGGCTGAATCAGCCAATGGCCAATAACTTAGTCACGCTCTGCGCTGAAGCCCTCACCGAAAGCCTGAGAAGAGCTTCTCTCTTGGTTGGATCCCGCTCTGTTCTATCTGTGTCTGTCCTGGTGCTGGTGCCATACTGTTGTGATTATTATAGCCCTATAGTATGGTTTGAAACCAGGGAGTGTCATACCTCTCATTTTGTTCTTTTTTCTCAAGATTGCTTTGGCTGTTTGGGGTTTTTGTGGTTCCATACAAATTTTAGGATTATTTATTCTAGTTCTGTATATAAGACCATTGGTATTTTGATAGGGATTGCATTGAATCTGTAGGTAGATTAACTATTAATTCTTATCCATGAGCTTGGTATATCTTTCCATTTATTTATGTTGTCTTCAGTTTCTTTCATCACTGTCTTACAGCTTTCAGAGTACAGGTCTTTCAACTCCTTGGTAAAATTCGTTACTAGGTATGTTATTCTTTTTGATGCTGTTGTGAATGGGATTGGGAATTTCTTTCTCTTTCTGCTTGTTCATTTTTAGTATATAGAAACACAACAGATTTCTTTGTATTGATTGTGTATCCTGCAGCTTCACTGAATTCACTTATTCTAACAGCTTTTTGGTGGAATCTTGCAGTTTTCTGTATATACTATCCTGTCATCTGCAAATAGTGACAGTTTTGCTGCTGCCTAGCCAATTTGGATGCTTCTCTTGGGTCAAGTAAGATGAGGACCATGAATATGCCATTGAGTTTTACAATAGAGCTGTTATCAGTGACATTAAAACCTGTTAGTATATGTATGGGAGGGGAGCTTGATTGAATAGGTTCAAGAAAAAATTGGAGAACAGAGATGTGACACCGCAGGTATAGAGAACTCTTTCAAGGAGTTTCAGCCTATGCATAGGGTACATAAGCCACAGTTATCTACTTAACATGTTTTTTTGCCCCATAGCTAAGTTTAAGGTAATCCTTTTTTTGAGAGTTGTGTGAATAACCTTTCATTATTACTGCACACAAAATATTTTGCTGCGTTTTATTTTGTTTTAGGTTGATGAACTGTTTCTGTCATTGACCGAGTTAATGATAGACTGGCAGTGTAGTTCCTATATATGTTAAGTAACACCACGAGAGCAGTTTCAGTGGCATGATAGTACAAAGGTAAACCAAGATTTGGAAATCATCAAAGTTCTTTAAGTTCTGAAAATGTTAGAGAAAAGAGACACTTTACAGATTGTACAATAGTCAGCCATCTTTGGCCTCATCAGCATCTTGATCTTTTTCTATGGAAAGGTTCAACGTAGTTCATTGAAGATATTTCCTGTGTCCATAAATTCCTTTGATAATGAAATATTATTAAGAAATTGGGATATAGTTAGTTGTGCTAAAATAAATTTAAAAGTTTAGATTGAATGAATCCTTTATTGTTTATATAGAAAATTGGTTGTATCCTTAAGGCATAGATGGCAAGTATGTTGACACATGTTCTGCCACACTCTCCTCTCTTCACTGCTGATCAACTCCAGTACCTTAGGCTGAGCCCAGATACAGCCTCAGAACTTGCAGTAGTAGTGTTGCAAAAGTCACTACCAATTAGTCTAATATGATACGACATAAAACTGTTTTCTTTATGTCTAAGAATTGCGTCCATAGATAATTATATGTGAAGCCACATATAAATTGGAAACCAGCTTTGCATTTGTTGCCATTCGCACTGCTAGAATTTATCAGGGCTTATTCTTCTGTCAAAACATTGAATTGACGTTACTTCCTATTCTTTCCTTTTGTCTAAAGATTCTGCTCTGTTTGCTGAACTTGGCTATTTCACAGACACTGATGACCTGCAGTTGGATGCAGCACATGAAACTTATGTAAGTATTTAGTAGAGAAGAAACACTGAACAATATGGTATTTAATCTTTACCTTAATTTCTACAGAAAGGTTTCAGAATAACAGGTTTAGGCTAGTTATTTAAACTTAAGTAACTTGTAGCTTTAAGTATGAAAGCAGCCATCTTTTAGTCAGTAAATTTAGTATTGTAGAAGTTGCATTGGGTTTGATGTGAGAACACTTACATCCTAAATCTGCCTTTGGCCACATGTGTGGGAGACCATTGAAAAGTCACTGAACTGCCTACTTCTTGTCCCTTGTACAAGGGAACTGTGCTGCATGCATAAGGGAAACAGTGATGTAAAGGCGTGTGTGTGAGTCATGGGTGCAGCCCACTAGAGTTTATTAACTTGCTTTTTAAAACTTACATATCCTTAGTGTAGAAAGCTCTGGGAACTTAGTACTTTATGTCCTTACTTTTGGCCTTTGAGTTATTCTGTTAGACTTTTTATAAAGCAATTATTGTAGCACTTTTGAGTTCTTAAAAATATAGATTTTTTTTTCTGGATTATGTACTAGTACTGTATTATGTATTACATATTACATACTACACATGTAATATGTAGTATGTATTATGTATTAGTACTTTCCTGGATATGTATTAGTACCATAGTACATTGGCCTACAGAACTTTTATTTTGTCTTACTCTTTAATGGATGAGGTGCTGTTTCACTTGGTAAGTAATTCAAGTGAACGGAGTAATTTAATTTTATATGTGCATCAATCAGGTTGAATATTTACCACTTATTTTTTATGCCCTTATTAACCTGAGCATAAAAATATGTAATGCTTGCTTAGTGAGTTTCTCAGACATTCTCTCAAAGAGTAACTTGGCACTTGTTTTCTTAAGAGTCAGTAGAAGAGTGTAAAAACACTTACTTTTTTTAATCAGTACATGAGATTTAAATGGTTTTTTGTTTACTTTGTGAGATGCTTTAGAAGTGGTCTGTTGATTAAATTAACTTTTAATAATGGTTGCCTAAGTAACTGCTACTCTATTGAAGAATCATTGGTTTCAAATACAACACAGTGGTTCAGCAATTAGCCATATTGTTAAATCCTCACCCCCATTAGTGCGGTTCCTGTCTGTCAACATAGGAAGGTGTTACAGAGCCACTGACTATTCTCCGTGCTGCACTTCCATCCCCGTGACCAACGTATATTATGATTGAGAATTTCTGTGCCCTTTTATCCCCCTCATCCTTCCCACCCACCTGACCCAACCCCTTTTCCTTGGTAACCACTCACTTCTCAGTGCCTACGAGTCTGCTGCTGTTTTGTTCCTTCTGTTTTGCTTTGTTTTTATATTCCACAAATAAGTGAAGTCATAAGGTCTTTGTCTTTCTCTGCCTGGCTTATTTTACTACAACTGCTGCTCTTTTACAATCTCTACAGCCTGAAACCGTTAAGACATAGTCTAGTGAATTTGAAAGATTTAGGGAAATGTGGTCTTGGTTTTATAACTAACACTCTCTTACCTGATGCAAGTCACTCAATCTTTCAGTTCCTTAGTTTTTCTAGTATAAGATGAAGGGATTGGATTAGATGGTTTCTCTCTCACTTTAAAATGGTCATTCTTCTTTCACATGGTAGTAGTTTCCCATGAGAAGTCACTGTAGAGCCAGAGCATATGAGTACCAGTATGCTTCAATTTACATAAAATGGGCTAACTTCCTAACCAGGTAAAATTATTATGCTGTAAAATGTACTTGACTGTTTTGGCTGAAGACTGAGAAGCATCCTTGAAGTAGGTCATGACTGTGCATACTAAAATGTATTGTACTCAGGCAAGCCTCATTGCTCAATTTACTTAGCCTATGAAAGTTTAAGGACTTTTTGTGGTTGCTGCAAATGTAAGGCTGCTGAATTTTTGATGTGTAGATTCAAATAAGAGAAAAAGAAAAGGAAATTGATTTAAAAAGTGTTTTTTCTCATGATTTAAGTAGTATTTTTTTTCATGTGAACTTCTACACATTGTCTTTTTATAACTTGTCCCCATTCAGTGAAGGGATGGTATGGTGAGAAAAGTTTCTCTTCTCTCCTTCTCTTACATTCTCAATAAAAGTAAACCACATAATAGTCATTTTGGAATGATATTATTATTCTAGAAATTATTACCAAATGATGGTCAATAATTACCAGATTAATCTTTACTCTTTGCCTGAGGCTTACTTTCTCTGTTGTTGCTATTTTATTATCACGTTAAGTTTATACTGACTGCCTGTAGACTTTGTTGAATTGTGTATATATTAAGCTTACTTCTGTTCTTGTCTCTGTAACCCCAGACACTTAACATAGTAGTAGTTGGTACTGTCTTGATCCCAAACTCATATGAGGGCTCCGAAATCAAATAACAGTTCCTTATTTATCTATGTCGTGTAAGATGGTCATCCAGTTAACCCAAAATCTGCTTATATTTAAGTAAAAAATGTACCCTCTAAATGAAAAGAAACTAAAAGTCCCTTTAAGAGGTTTGTTGACCCAAATTTAAGAAACTTAGTTTTGTCTTCTAGGACTAAAAAACGTTAAGAAATTTGAAAAGTACAGAACAGTAGAAAAAAGAAGAAAATTACCCATTGTCCTAGGGATCTCTTCCTTACAGCCATTGTAATATATGTAGTATATTTGAAGGTTCAGTTAAAGGCTCTTTACGATCTCTGCATGTCTTGGATACATTTATATTCTTTTCATTGTATATAGAGATGATGTTATAAATAGGCCTTTGCTTTGACTTGTTTTCCTTAATGGCAGTGGAAAAATAATTTTGCTGTATCTTCCTTATGAGAAAAGATACATTGTGTGACTCTTGTATGGTGTGTTCCTACTGAAGAGAATGAGACCAGCTGAATCTTTGAGATGTTGAATCCGCTCCTTCCCTCCTCACTGTTCCTGCTGTGCCTCAGATGACTGAATTGGTGTATCTCTAGGCTTACCAAGAAGCAGTCTCAAGATGACTTGAACAACTTAGAAAATTATTTTTCGCAGATGGTGAACAGCAATTATTATATTAGTTATGACAAATTGTGTCTGATAGTTTGATTTCTAGTTATACATATTTTATTTTTCTAATATTGTTTTGCTGATTTGAAACCTACAGGAAAACAATTTTGATAATCTTGATTTTGGTTTGGACTTAATGCCATGGGAGACAGGCATTTGGGATATCAACAACCAATTCTGTACAGGTATGATGTTTTTCTTTGGTAAAAACTTTAAATGGATCTGTGATCCATTTTATTTTGTAGTTTGGTAATAATCAAAATTAGGTAGGGTTATTGTGCTACTTTCGATGGGTTAAAAATTGCAGGGGCTATATATTCTACTTCTGGTATGGCAGTGCATACGTACATAGATTTCAAAGTGAATATAAAGAATTTCATAGTTACGTTTTAGTTACACAATGAAAGAGGAATTCATATCAGAAATACTGATTTTGAATTATATGTAAGATCTCTATAAGAGATAAACCTGTCTGAGAACCAGGTGGAACTTAGGGAATGAAAGGAAGGAGCTTGGGCTTTGCAGAACTAAGAGCTTGGTGTGGAGGGTCCCATGCATTTGATTTCATACTTCTGAGTGCATTACCAACCCGGCACTGGTATCTTTAAGGCAGCTCAGTGAGGTAGGTTTTGGGTGTGCTGGGTGAAGCTGGAACCTGGAGTAAATTATCCTTTCTGAAATGATCTGATGGGGGGATGATGAAGTCCCTTCTCCCCTTCTTATCCCTTTCAGCATCCTTCTAGAACCCCCTACTGTCAGGACCTAAAAGGAAGCTGGCTGAGACATGTATAAATAATATGCATCACAGACTGCAGGAAGGGGATTTATGGCTAAGAGACAGTGGGTAAATAATCAGTACATTCTCCCATCTAAATTGCAGTCCTGTTGACCCCTGCACTGCCTAGTCCCTTTATTTTACATATTTATGTATCCTGCTCAGTGCCTCGCTTCCCTCATGGAATATGGGCTATGCAAGTTGCTGTGTGACACACAACTCTAAAACTTAGTGGCTTAAGACAGCAACCATTTTATTATGCTCCAGATTTATTATGCCATTCCTGGTGCACCTTAATCCAGATTCCTGACCTATGATGTCCAGACCTCAGCTGGGAAGATTTGAAGGCTGGGGTAGCTTGATGTGTAAGGTTTTTTCATTTACACGTCTGATGCCTGGTCTGGAATGACTTGGTGACAAGGGCTGCGGGCTAGTGAGCTATACGTGGCCTTTCTAGATAGCTTGGCTTCCTCACAGCACGTAGTCTCATGGGAGTCAGACTTCAGAGGCTCAAATGTGAGTTGTTACAGTGCACAGAGTAGAAGCTGCATTGCCTAATGGCTGGGCCTTGGAATTCACGCAGCCTTATTCTTAAACTTAATTGATTAAAGGAGTGATAAGCCCACCTAGATTCAAACAGGGAAAACAGATGCTACTTCTTGACAGGTAAGTGGCAGGATCCTTTTATGGAATATCATGAGAGACGGTAGATATTTTTTAGCTGACTTTGGAAACACCATCTGCTGCAGAGGCATTCCCTCTCCCATTTTCTACTCAGTTACATATTTGACACTAAGGAACACTGCCTGAGCTACAGTTTGCTCAATAAATTATTATAAGTTAATTGCTCATTCAAAAGATGTGAACTTTTTTGTGAGTTCTAATTGTATTGTCAGAAAATCTTTACAAAGTAATTCTTTTCTGTTTCTTATACTTTAAAAAATTATTTTGGGGGAATCTATATAATTTTTTGAATCTGGTATAACATTCAAAAGATATACAGAAAGCCTAGAGTAGAAAAATGTCTCCATCAGCCCTTGTTTTTCAGCCAACAGGTTCTGCTCCCTGGAGACAACCATACTTACCACTTTCTTACATTTATTCTTCCAGAGAATTACTGCAGTTGTGGGTAGATGTATACACATACACACATATAATTTATTACACAAATGGAAGCACACTAGATACACTGTTTTCTGCATCTTGACTTTTCACCTGATGATGTATTTTGGTGACCTTAGCTTCCATATGTTTGAATTTTAAGAGTAGATTTAACCTTCTTTCTTACTCATTTCTTCTGAGTTTATATTATCCAGTGGGAAAAATGTTTACTCCGTGTTTTCCAGTTAAAGATGTCAAGGCAGAACCTCAGCCGCCTTCTCCAGCCTCCTCGAGTTGTTCAGTGCCGTCTCCTCAGTCGGTGGACTCGTGTTCTTCAACTCGGCACGTTCCTGTAAGTAGCCAGTCCTTCCCAGTGGTTTTGGTTATAGTGCTCCGGAAAATACGTACACGGTGGGGGCAGTTGACATTTATTAAGTGTTGCTATGAGCCTTACTATCTCATTGAATCCTGAGGAAACTGAGTCTCCATGAACAGCCCTGGGGGAGCTAGGAAGCTCCCAGTCTCCTTGGTGGTGCCCTCCTTCCTGTGTTCTTGCCTTCATAATTTCATTGCTTCATTTGTTGCACTTTGCCAGCGTCCAGTATTTTTGTGTTTATTGGCTTACTGTTTTTCCAGCCTGCTACCCTCTCTCCTTCCTAGTAGAATTGAATATACATTCTTTGAGGTCCTAGAAGACTATAAGATGGTCTGTTTTGGGGACTCCTTGGCCACAAAACCTAGAATGGTGGTTGCCTTAGGTCAGGAATGCCTTAGCTCTGCCTTTTGAACGGGCCATGGTTTTTATAAAAGTCTGGTAGCTCCTTAAAAAGGCTTCTGCTCTCCACCCAGCCGGAAGCTCTGAGGCCAGGAAAAGAAAGTACCAAAGGACTTAAGGACTTTTGGGAATGGGGAAAGGGAGAAAATAAAAGAGGAAAAACTTATATTAATATTTTAGTACATTGTATCTGCTGTAAACTGAGGTATCCTCATTCCAGCAGGCTCTCCATCTACTCAGTTATGAAATTCTGATGAGTCTGTCCACTTGATGTCCCTAGGATTCATCTTCTCTGCCTCTTGTAAGCGACCATCATCTTGCGTGGATCAAGTCAATATGATTTTAACTGATCTCTCTGCCTCCTAATTTCCCAGACCTTTTAACAGAGAAATCTTCAGAAACAAGTCTTTCAAAATCACAAATTTGATTACACCAGCCTTTTGCTTAGACCGTTTAATGACTTCCCAACGCTCACAGGGACAAAACTCACGTTCCTAGTGTGCTGGGCCCTCCGCGATGTGGTCCCGCTTCCCTTTCTGGTCTTGTGCCTTGCTCTCCTTTCCCACTTTCACACACACCCTTCAGCCTTTCCCCTGCGAGAGTTCTTACCTCGGAGCTCCTGTGCTCTCTGCTGCTTCAACGCCTGTGCTGGGCACTGGTCCCAGAGCTGTGGGACAACAGCAGTGAGGTCTCTGCTCTGACAGTTTTAGGTTTTTGCACATGCTCTTCCTTCTGTCTGAAATCTCCCAATTTTTTTTTCTTCCCTGAGAAATCTCTTTTTCATCCTTTAAAGTCCCAGTGCAAAAATTACTTCCTCTGTGAAGCTTTTCTCTGCTGCTGTTATTGGAAAGTTTACCAAATGACTTAATTTCTCCCAATGATTAAATTCTTTTAGTTGAATTTACTTTGGAACTCAAGGTAGATACTAAGGTATATTCCCAGAAGCCTGGTTTCTATCCATTTCTTTCCAACCTTTCTACACTTAGGTAGCATACGAAGTACCTGTTCTGCAGCTTGCGTGTTAGGCTTAGCAGTACAGCCTGGAGGTGACTCCGATTTCAGCCTACAGGATCTTTCTCGTTTGTATGGCTGCACAGTGTTTCATTGTGTGGATATATCATTCTTTTTTCAACGATTTTCTTATTGAAGTATTTGTGCTGTCTTTACTTTTTTCAGCCTCCTACAGTAAATAAGCTTAATGTTTTTGCCAAGATATCTTTGGGATACATATTCCTAAAGTGAGATTGCTGAGGTCAGGATAAATACATTTGAAAAGTTGCTGATTATTGCCACATTTCCCTCCAGAGGGTTGTACAGCTGTGCATTCTGACCAGCAGCATAGTATGTAAGAGGGCCAGTTTTCCCATCGTCACTATATAGCATGTTTTATTTTCTATTTCTTTTATTTATAAGTGAAGTTGAACATCTTTTCATATATCTCATATGTATAAGGCCTACTTGTATTTTACATTGTCATCTTTTTTTATGAACTGTCTGTTCAAATTTTTTGTCTACTTTTTTATTGGATTGTGTTGGTCTTTTTCTCAACTTTTTAAGTATGTTGTTACATACTAGAATTATTAGTCCTTAGTTTGTGAAGTAAGGCACAAGTATTTTTTCTCCAATTTGTCATTTGTCTTCAAGCTTTATTTCTAGTGTTTGTTTTCTCCCGGCTTACTTCTTTCCATAGTTGAATTATTGATCTTTTATTGCTCCTTTTCTTTGTCACTCAAATGTTCACCACTAGGAGCTAATACTATTTTTATTCTTATTTTGTTGCTTACGTTAATTTTTTGTTTGGAACAATCTCAAGCTTACGGGACTGCTATGGGTCCACCAAGAACTTTTTTTGCTGAACCATTTGAGAGTAAGTTGCCAACTGAAACCCCGTCACCTCCAAACACTTCAGTGTCTACTTCTACAAGCAAGATTATGTCTTATATATGTAACAACACAGCCATAAAAGTCAGGAAATAAATCTTAATACATTATTGTCATCTAATCCTCAACTCCCATGTAGATTATGCCGGTTGTCCCAAAAGTCCCCTGTAGGCCAGCAGCAGATTCTAGTTAAGAATCCTGCAGTGCATATGGTTGTCTTGTCCGCTTAATCTTCATTTGAACAGTTCATTCTTCCTCGACTGTCATGACCTTGGCACTTTTGGGATTAAAGACTAATTATTTTATAGAATGCCAGTGGGGTTTGTCTGAGGTTTCCCAGGATTAGATTCAGGTGTGGTGTCTGTGGTAGGAGTGTCACAGAAGGGATGCTGGGTCAGTCTCGTTTACTTTTGATGAGGTAGCGCACAATTTCCATTTGTCTTTTCCAGGAGGCTCATGTTGTTCCCTTCATTAAGGTGTGTCTGTCAGGCCATCCCACTGTGATGTTGCTCTTCTCCCTTTGCCATAAAGAAGTATTTTGTGAGGAAGTGCTTTAAAACTATGTAAAAATATCTGGTTCCTCATCAAACTTTTAACTTCAGTCATTTGTTTATATCAGTGTGGATTCATGGTGTCCTATTTTATTCAACAGGTTACAATCCATTACTATAATTACTCTTGATTTTTAGGTTGTATTTGCCAGTACAAGTTCCTCCACATTGACTCCTGTGTTCTTTTAACAGATCTCCACTGGGCTTTGGGCTTTCACTCCCTACGTCAGGCTGACCCAGTGTGGATGCCCTCATCACCCTGCCCTGATCCCCATGCCCCATGCCAGAGTGCCCTCCCACCCCTGTGTGCACACCCTCCCTAACTGCTGGTGGTACTCCACCAGGTTGCCTCTGCATGGTTGCTTGTCTTGCCCTGCCATCTAGTGGCTTCAGCGTCACATTTTCAGAAAGGAATAATTCTAAGTGATTGTTAACACACATTTTCGTACGGTTTCATTTTTAATAGATCTCTGGATCCATTTGAAATTATCCTGGTGTGTGATATGTGATACAAATCCAGTTTTTTGTTTCCCCAAAGACTGTCAAAGGATTGTTTCAGTACCATTTATTTAAAAATTCACCTTTTTCTCACTGATTTTGTGTATTTTAAATTTATGTAAATGGTGTTTTATTAGATCTCTTTGGATTTGTAACTTTTAAAAATCAGCACAGTGTTTTTAAGATCAAATCATATGGATCTGTATACATCAGTCTATTGCATTAAACTGCCTGACACTTTAAGTAAATGTTCACTGTGTTTTATATACCACAATGAACATCGTCAAAAATGGCCATTATGGTTCTGCGTGAGAATTCCTGTGGAGTGTACGCCCAGGAGTGGGATTGCTGGGTAGTGGCGTGCGGGTGCCTCATTTGACGTACTTCTTTCCAGGACAGCCGTACTAGTCTGCCGTCCATTCAGCCTTGTTTGAGGATCTTGCAGCTTCTCTTCTCTGCTCATACTTGGCATTACCTGGCTTTCTAATTTTTTTGCCAGATGGTGTGAATTTTGTTTGTTTTAATTTGTATTTTGGTTACTGATTATTTTCACTGTTTTTTTACATGCCTATTAGCTTTTTGGCTTTGGATTTTTTTTTT